CTCTGTTTCTCACTTTTTTTTCTGTTGTCCATGTTTTCTTTTTCTGTTGCCTTTTTTGTTTTAGTCTCTTCTATGGTTTAAGTGTATAAAGCCTAAATTCACTATAATTAATATATGATAAATGCAATTCCTAATTATATACTGGTGAAGACTTCAGCAATGATCTAGCACATGCTATTTAAATACCTTGAACCAAATAAAATCAGTCTTCTGCCAAGGATAACTATATAAGTATACCTCCACTACTCAGGTAGCTTCACATTCTGCCTTACTGAGACAAGGCTTCAATGTAAGCCTTAGATGAAATATTCAACCCTGTCACTTATTTCTTTGGCAAGTCAAAACCTCTACGTAAAGAAGTTATTTATTTGTTCCTGAAGGATAAATAAAAACCTTTTAATATCCCATTGGAACATTCATATTACAGACATTCTTATAATGGCTACAATAAAATTTTTTGTTGGTTATTACTTTTCTCTAGCAAAGGCAATGTTAAACAAATATTGAGTGCTTTTGAAATATGTTCTCAGAAAGGGATCTTTCTATCAAAACAAAACTTTCAGACAAGTTAAATAACAAGAAATGCTTGCTACTGGATCTTGCTAGGATAACTCAAGAAAGGTCAAATAAAGATCCAAACCAAATATGGCTATCTCTTTGTTTGCAAGGTTTCCATTATTTGCATGTAATGAGGATACAAAATTGCAGAGATATGCAGAACAAAATAGGAACAGGCCAAGTTCTCAAATGAAATCAGACTTTACTCTTAATAGTACTTAGGGTTTTCCTCGAATACAGACTCCTTTGAATCCAGACTTTTGAATATTTTGAGACATATATAGTTCATTAAAGATTTCTAGGGAAGAATGAATTAACAAAATTATTTAAATAGAAGATAAAAACACAAATAAAATGGAATTGTAAATAGAAGATAAAAACACAAATAAAATGGAATTGTCTGTGATTGTGAGAATTTTAAAGAATATGTATAGGCTAAAGAAAACGAACCAAATAACATGGAGAAGGGCAAGGAAAATGAAACAAAGGGTGGTAGAAACGATAGAATGAGAGAAGAGTAAGAGAACTGAAGAAGAAACAGAGAACTGAAGGAAGAAGAAAAGAAAGTGAGGGAGGAGTAGTGGAGGGAAAAAAGAAGGAGAGAAGGAGAGAAAGAAAGATGAAGAAGGAATATACAGACTACACTGAATTAAATTACATTTTGAAGACAAAAAAAAAAGGAAATGGAGAACAAAAGTATTGTAGAGGATACAATGCAAATACAAGATATAAGCTAAGTAGCAGTATTATTTTTATCAATATAAAAAATAATTTTCATCTTCAAGCAGGTGTGAATCAGCTTGATATTTTTATTCTTGTTCATTTGTGCTCCTGCCTTTGTGGTATAATTGATAAATAAAATTTTATAAATATAAGGTGAAGACTGAAGTAGATGCGCATCGCCATGATGGTTTTAATTTACTTCTTGATTATGATGATTTGGATGTTGCCATTGAAAACAGAAAGTAAGATTAGCTAAACTGAGTAAAGGTGTCTTGTTTTAAAAAATAGTTATAACTATTAAAATTAAAAACAAAAGTACAAAATCATCTACCATACCAATTTCTGGATATGTATTAAGTATTGTTTAGATATTGTTTGTGTGTTAAAATATTAAGAATGTAGTCATCCACTATGCTGACATCTGAGAATAATTTATAGTTACCATAAATAAATTACCATAGTAATTTATTGATTTTAATTGTTTTCCATTTTTGAAATGCATTCCTTCGGTAAAGTAAAAATTTAAATAATAACATAGACATAATTTCTGTTATGGCAACAAAATGAAGTAAATAAATAGTGTAAGATAATTGGAATTCTTTAAATATGTTTTTATAAAACCCTTGACAGGTTTCTCCACTTGGTAATAAATTCTGAAAGTGGAGAAATACTACAAAAATTTATGTTTCCATATTTACCTACCTTCATTCTCTCCATACTTGTTTTAAAGCTACCGTTTTTGTTTTAATTTGTTTCTAAATAAAAATATTTTAATCACTATTATGTTCTCAAGGCCTCAATGTTACGCTTCATATTATAAACAAAAATATGGGAACAAACCATTGTCCCTGAGGTGACATGGTATATCTGCCTAGCATACACAAATCTTGGATGTGAGAAAGGAGAGTTAAGGGAGTTAGAAATTGAGGAAGGGATGGTGAAGCATAAGGGGTACAGAAAGAAGGGGGAAAAGACAAAAAAATGTATATATTATATTCAAATAATGAAAAGTAATAAACAGGACAATGACATGTGGGAAGTAAATCAGGGACTACAGACTCTATCCTGAAGTTAAGAGATGATATTGAAGGGTTTTAGTTTGTTATAACAAGAGGAGATTTTAATTTATAATATTTATTGCAAAGAATATTCTTTGAAATCTGGTAAGAAGTAAACTTAGGCATATATCTTTAAGATTTAAAATAAGCAGAGAATAAGCTCAGAGAGTTTCCACATTTCTCTCATTTGCTCTGAAGATAAATGTAAGCACCTCTCGTTGATGGATGAATCTCCTTTTGAGGAACACATTGGCACATAACAATTTCAGGCAAAGGGTGGAGATGGATAGAGGAAGAAGAAAGTGTTGGGAGAGGTGAATGGAATTTTGGAACATCTTGGGAGCAATGTGGAAACCTGGTGCAATGGAAACTCCCTGGAATCTATGAGAGTAATCCCAGAGAAGACAACTAGTAATGGGGATACATAGCCTGTACCAGCCATCTTCTGTAACCAGTCAAGTTTTCCAGTGGGGGAACTGGGACAGCAACCCAGCCACAAAAATTTAACCTACAATTTGTCCTGCCTGTAAGATATGCTTGGGAAATGGTGTCACAGAACTTGTGGAGTGGCCAACCAATGACTGGTCCAGCTTGAGGCCCATGCCTTGAGAAGGCACCCAACCCTGATGTTACCTGGATGGCCAGGAACAGGAGGCTGTATATCCCAAAGACCTGGGATAGAACCAAGCATGACAGGCAAAAAAGAAGTCAATAAAATTAATCCTAATGATATACTACACTCATGGATAGGTGCCTTTCCCCATTATCTTCAAAGATGTTTCATTCAGCAATTAATGGGAACAGATATAGAGACCTATAACCAACACTAGCCAGAGCTCAGAGACCTCACAAAACGAGGGAGAAGAAGTATTGTGTGATCTAGAAAGGTTGAAGGCACCAGGAGAACACATCCCACAGAATAAACTAAGCAAGGCTCAAAGGGTTTCACAGAGTCCAAAGTCTGCATGGGTCTTCACTCTGTTCTTTACATATATGTTATGACTGTGTATAACCTGGTGTTCTTGTGGGACTCAACACAGAGAAAGTTGGGATTGCCTGTGACTCTTTTGCTTCCTCTTCTGACCCTTCTCCTTTTTCTGGGTTGCCTTGTCCAGTATTGATATCAGGATCTATATACCTAGACTGATTAAATTTTGTTCTGCAGCATTCAGTTGATATTCCTGGGAGGCCCTGCTCTTTTCTCAGGGGAATAAAAAGAGGAACAGATCTGTGCCACATTAAAGGTGGGGGAGTTACTGGGAAGTATAGAGAGATGGGAAACTGGTTGGGATTAATACATGAGAGAATAAATAATTTAAAAAATGAAAAAAAATCAAAACAACAATAGCAACAAGAACAATTATATTGATCCCTACCAAATAGGTACACACAATTGAGAACGTTCCAGATAGCTGGCTATGGGGCCACACACCCCAACCCCGATATTTGGGAAACTGAGGAATGGGCATTGCTCTAAGTTCAAGACTAGCTAAGGATACAAACTAAGATACAACATTTTTAGAAGTAAAACTTAATCATCATGCCAAACAAAATTCTAGAAAAACCAAAAAAAAAAAAAAAAAAAAAAAAAAAAACTACTTTTGACAAGGAGGTATAAATGGCTCTGGTGGTATGGAAACATGCCAGAAATGAATGAAGTATTCAACGGTTTACCAACCTTCAGAAGCAAGAGTTAAACTGGGATGTTCTTCGGTGCTGGGGTAACCCACTCCCTAGAGACAACAACTGAATTCTCTATTTTATCTATTTTAACTAATAACTTACTATCACCAATGCAGAAACCATTGTTTTATGGAGAAATATGGCTATCCATGACTGTAACTGTGCAAGGAATTAAAAACTATGTTGTGAATGTGAAAGAGTTTTAGGGATAGCCTAATCAAATTTATTATGCTTGTGAAATATTTTTTAAGAAGAAAACCATTTGTTGACACAAGATATGAGTAGGAATGGTATTTTTATTTTTGGTGCTGAGGCTTAATCTCATAGTACTGTGCACTTTAAACACAGATTCTCACCAATGACCAGTACCTCTCCTACTAACACAGAGTTTGATGCCTATAATCCTGCATGTAGGAGATTAGGACAAGCAGATCATGAGTTTGAGGTTAGAATGCGCTATAATGAGATACCCAACTTCAAAATATTAAAAAAAAAATGCTCCTACATTTTCTTAAAAATATCATATATATTATCAGGTAAAGTTTCTTCGAGAAAAAGTAAACACAAAACAAATATGTAAACTTGAAAGAGTTTTATAATTACACACTATTTAAGTATAAAACTTGTTTGAAGTTAGGTATGGTAGCACCTGACTGCAGTCCAAATGTGTGACAGGTTAGGGAAAGAAAACAGAAATTCTAGGCAATGCTAAGGCCCCATCTCAAACAAAGAAGAAAAAAGTGACAAAAGCAGAATAAAAAAGTAAAAAGTATCAAAAATTTGTTTGATGATAATCAGAATTAATAATTAAAGTTCAATTTAGTAGCTGTTGGAAGAATAAACAATAGAAGTATAATTATCTCTGTATGTGCTTCATCTAATTAGGTAAAATTGTTTTATTTTTTCACATGATTAACATATTTCATATAATTTAAAGTATATTCTGAAGGATATATTTTCTTACTAAAAATTCCTTACCTTAAATGTCAAGAGACGTTTTGTATAATTAGGCACTATTATGGATTTATCTGTCACTTTTCCCACGGTGCAGTTTATAACAATGCGGTCCAAGGCCAAGGGTGTTGTCCCAGTCCCATCCATTTCAATGATGTGTTCCATACCATCTGCTTCATTTTGTAAAGTAAGTTTACCCTATGACAAACGAGACATTTTTAAGTTTTACAGCAGTCAGTATTCTCATCCTATTCAACTTGACTCTCACCAAGAAAAGGAACTTGTAATATAATGTTAGCCACTGAAATTTCTAGTTCACATAAAAATGATATTATTGAACAAAGAACCGACTTATGAAATGCTCTTTATTTCTATCTTTCTGGAAATTATACATTTTACATAAGCATTCTCAAGCTTACCAATTATATGTGTATTAACCACCTTGTTGGAGAATTGTTGCTGAGAGAATTTTCAGGTGTAGCAATTGACATAATTGCCACACTAACTCCAGGAGTCATCTGTATAGCATAAAAATGTACTATGTAAGCATAAAATTATGCAAACAGACAGGAGATATGATTCCCACGGGAATAAAAGCTCTTTGGAAGTCCCTGGCAAAAACCCTAACATGGCCACTTAAGCCAAAAAGACGTATTCTGAAAGTCCCACACTTGCTCGATTGCAATATTGGATTGATGAGCCTTTTTGCTGTTTCTCTATGATTCTTGGAACAGCACAATTAACTATTCAAGGAAACATTTCTAATATATTGCTAAAAGCTTTAGCAAATAAGAGTAGAAAAAAATAAAAATTTTAGGAGAAGTAATAAATCAGATTCAGCATCAGGAATTGCTTGTGGAAAAACCAAACATTGTAGGTAGTAAAGGGACAAGAGTTTTAGGGCTTTCTAAAGAAAATATTCAATCAGAATCTGTTAGGATAAATGCTCTGAATATTCCCACTGCAGTAAAACTACTACAAAACCATTACCTAGCACAGATGTTTATGATGAGGCAAAAAGAAGATAGGCAAACATAGAAGGTCAGAGAGTTTTGTATTATACTATAAGTTTAACAGACAGGCTAGCTCAAGCATCTTATCTCTAAGGAAAGATTGTAAATCCTTAGCAAGCCAAACAGGAGGAATTCCCCTAAATGCTTATCTCCAGGGGGGTTGTAATCTTTAGCTGACTTAACTTGGAGGATTATTAACAGCCCCTAATTAACTAACAATAAACTACGCAAACAGACCACAAGTTTAACAATCCCCTGGCCCTCTACTCCCTAAATTAGCAACAATAACACTATGTAAATAAGGCACTAGTTCTATGTTTGTTTTGCTTAACAGGCTGTTAGGCCAAGATTTTTTGTAGACACTGCTTCTACTAGGTTACTCTTTCAGTTAAAATGTCAACTTTGTATTGTTGGTAAAAAGTCTGAATGCCCCGGGAAATATGTCGACTTCAGGTGCTTCTTTATGTAATCACTATATAAGTGTTGGCTTGACTTCAGTTAAGCGCAGGAGATCCAAAACAACATCACTTGGTGTGGTCTCGGTCATTTCGCCTACCTGTGCCTAATCTGATATCTGAACCCCTGATTCTCCCGCAGGTAAGGGACTCCCGGCTGGGTCGGTCCACGGCACATAATGACTAAAGCAATGATTGTATATCTTTGAGCATGCTTTCTGAAAATAACTTGGATATATATATTCAAAGACAACAGCATTGTAAGTGACATGATAAATATTGGTCCTTCAAAGTTAAACATGTTAAGCAAAACTTTCAAGTTTATAGAATATGCAAAATGTTACTTAACATTTTATAATTAACTACATTGATTATTATCTATATATTTTTCATTTACATATTAATAATATAAGGAAGAATCCATGATTTATACCTTAATTTCACATTCCATCATGGGTTTAAATGTCAAAGGATGTTGTATAGTTTCACCAGGGGCAACATGTAAAATTTGAGGTCCATAAAACCACTCTCCTTCTACTTTAACTTGAAATTTTGAAGGTTTCTTTGTTTCATTTTTCTAAAACATGGAAACAGTTACACATATGTTAGAAGGATGATGTTGGTAAAATTGAATTACATACTCATTCTTATTTTTAAGGCATTGGAACTATAATTAGGCTGGGCATGGTTACACAAGCCTATAACTCAAGTACCTGGAACCCTTATGTATGTGCATCCCGGAGTTCAAAAGCAGGCTAGGATCTATTGTTGAGTTCAAGGCCAGCCTGAGCTGCATAGTGAGACCTGGTTGCAAATGTGCAAGGGCTGGAATAGAGTTCAGTAGTAGAGCAGTTGCCTAGCATGCACAAGAATTACAAAGGTTCCAGTAGAAAAAGGGGGAAGAAAGAGATGAGATGGGATAGGGAGAGGTGTAGAATTAACAAAATTAAATATAAAGAAAATAATCACATGAAAAAATACAATAAAATCATCCATGTATGTACAAGCCAATTTAATTATTTTTAAATAATAATCATAACAGGGCTTAGAATTAATATTTGATAAAATACTGTAATTATTACGAATTATTCTGTGTGTTATAAAAAAATTTTAGAATGTGACATTTAAAAAGTTTTATGAAGAACAATTCTTAAAAATGTGAATGAAAGCCAGGTGCAGTTTTGTACGCCTGTAATCCCAACACTTGAGGAAGTAGAGACAAGGCTACACAGAGAAACCATGTCTCTAGATATTAATATCTTGAGAAATTAAATGTTTGGTTTAATGAAGATCAATTTATGATACTTTATGACAAATGGTCAATTAAACAAAAGTGATATGATCCTGGATGATATAATTTATTACTGTTCAAAAATAATAAAATGTGTTGAACAGAGTTTCTATCTATCATTATAACAAATTTTGGTGCATCAGTCTGACTGCGGTATATCTTTAGTAATTAGATAAACAAAAGTTAACTTATTCTAAGTACAGAAATTCTCCTAAAATCAATTACCTAATTATATGCTGTATTATCACTTTGTCCAATAGAGGACAATGGCTTTTCTTAGTGCCCATGTACCTATATTATTCATATGTTTAAATCTAAAGAATTTGGAGAAGTGATCTGAGCATCCATATCTCGGGATGGTGATTCCAAGAGAAATAACTTTTCTTAGTTATTTGATGAGAGGTTAAGGATATTACAGTCACATGTTTAAACAAATAGATTCAACAGAAACGATGCTTCTGTTGTAGCTGAGTTTATATTAGGGAAGGAACCTGACATAATAAAAATAAATAATTTTTAGTATAAAATACAATTATAAATATACAGCTCTCAAGATGAGACGTTAGAAGGATTTTGAGACAGTAGAAGTGGGTGCGGATCTCCAAAATACACCATCCTGAAATTTATTTCTCAAACATTTAAAAATGAATATTCAGAGGCAGTAGAAAGAGAATTATGTCTGTAAATTTGACCATTTGTGAAATAAAGTATCATATTATATGGAACATCTGCATTAGTGAACAGTACGTACACACAGAGGCTTTTCTATGGTCCTATGTCTTTCCGGCTGGGAAAAATCTTTACACAGGAAGAAGAGCTGGTGTGATGATTGCCCTTGTTAAGGATTATCTTAGATTGTTGTCACCTGGAGGACATTATCTACCTAGTAAGATAAACTTTTCTTCCTTCGCAGAGTCTCCCTTCAAAATTTCTAGCCAGCTGCAACCTCCCTTCTCTAGATATTCACAATCCAATCATTTCTTTCATCTTTTATATCAGCTGTGGGTATGTTGTTCCTCTGGTGAGCTTGTATATGGTTTTCACCTTTCTGAATGGAAATACACTTGTATTTTTCTCCCTGCTAATCTGTTTAATACTACACACACACACATACACAGACACAAACACACACACACACACACACACACACACACACACACACACATTTAAAGGTAGATTAGACATAACAATCAGAGTGTACTAAAAAGAAAAAGAAATTCTCCTGATCTATGCAATGGCCCCTAAAAATTTGGATATTTTTACATTGTCTTTGTCAGTTGTAACTTTCTAAAGAACACATGAAACTGGAAGGAAAAATTGTTCACTTCCACAAGTCCTGGCCTCTGATACTAGAAGAAATGCTTCTTCACTTCAGGACAAGTAACAGGAGTCCACAGTTAAATATACAAATGTTTATTTCCTGGCTATTAGTAAATCTTTATTATAAATTTGAAATACTGCACAAGCAAGGTAGAAACAGTCTAATAATGGTTCCAGTTTGTGTCAAAACAAAATTCATTTTCTCAAATACGTACGTAATATATTTGTTTCTTTATGTTGGTCAGTATTCATACAGAACCATATATTATGGCCAGGTTCTCCACTAGTATATGAAAATAAAGTCACAACAAATAAGTTTTCACTTACTATTGGGATATACTGTGTAAGTGGTTCAAATGCTGGTGTTTTAAAAAAAATTCAACCTCTGGTTCTTCTTCATTTACTATACCTTCAAGTATATACACACGTACATCATATTTTGATACCAACAAAAGTTTACAAGGGTATCTTCCAGGTCCAAGAGGAACAAATTGTAGAGGAATTGAAGCAGTTCCTTCTAAAGGTAGGAAAATAATTTGAAAGCAGTAGTCATTTTAAATGTAAGACCTAAAATCGTCTTTGGTAAAACATATTTAATATTATTCTGTGAAGTTGTACCTACAAAGAATATACTAGGTATCTTTAACATTTGATATTCTATCTACATATTATCACACGGATACATTTTTGAATGAGAGATGTCTTTCATATTTTTGTGAAAGAGATATTCCATCCTAAAAAGTCAATAGGATCTCCATGTTTTGAAAGATATCCCTATATTGTTTTTACTTTACATTTTGGATAACAAGTCAGGGAAAGAGAAACGGGTATTTCAAGGGTTTTTCAGTGTTTAAAATTAAATTAACATAAAATATTTGATTAGTCAGAGAAAACCAAATAGCTTCATCTAACTCACAGTGAGAGACTTAATGAAAAATTTACAAAGATGATACAATATTACCTTGATGTTCTCTTGCACAAATAACCTATATACTTTTCAATTTGAGAACGTGATATAAATACCCAGGAACTAATATTTGACATTATAAAGAAAGCCAAGGGTATTCTTATGTCTATATTAGAATCCAAAAGTTAACCGCAAGACTCTAAAAAATAAAATCAGACTCCTTTCCGTCCAAATTAAAATAAAAATCATTGTGTCAGAATTTATGAAAATATTGGTTTTATATTTTAATTTATTATTATTGTTAATTACAATTTATTCACTTTGTATCCTGACTGCAGCATAGCCCACTCCCTCATCTCTTCGCGGTGGCACCTTCCCTCCCTTTTTCTCCCCTATATCCTTCCACTAGTCCACTGATAGGAGAGGTCCTCCTCCCCTACCATTTGACCCTAGCCTACCAGGTTTCATCAGGACTATGTGAATCCTCTTTTCTCTGTGGCCTAGTTAGGCCACCTCGCCAGGGGGAGGTGATCAGAGAGCAATCAAAAAGACCTCTAAGGCATGCATTGTCACTTGAGTTTTTGATACTAGCCATTCTGATGGGTGTAAGGTGAAATTTCAGGGTCGTTTTGATTTGCATTTCCCTGATGACTGGGGATTTTGCCTGCTCTTTGATCACCTCACCCTGGCAAGGTGGCCTTACTAGGCCACAGAGAAAGAGGATCCAGACAGTCCAGATGAGACCTGATAGTCTAAGATCAGATAGTAGGGGAGAAGAACCTCCTCTATTAGTAGGCTGGGGGGGATGGGGAGGAAGAGGGAGGGAGAGTGGGACCTGGAAGAGATGAGGGAGGGGGCTAGAATCAGGATACAAAGTGCATAAATTGTAACAAATAATAATAAAAAAGAATTTTAAATTATATTTTCATTCTGGTTGACTGTAAGTATTGTAGAGTAAATAAGAAGTGACTACTATAAGGGAGAAAGAATAAGTGTGTGAACTGAGGTATACACATTCCTGAACATGACAGCCATTCAGATTAGTATTGAAGGACAGAGGAAACCAGGTTAGGACTAAAATATCCTGTGTTATTACTTTCTCTTAAACAAACCCGAGTTGCAAATTTTTAAATTAAACTGCATTTACTAAGTGTTCTATTTGTTAACACAAAATGGCAGTGTGTATTCTATATAAAATGTGTTAGTCTTGTTTTCAACTTTTAAATTTTAGAAAAAGATATGTGGGATGGTATTACTAATTTTGAACTGACCAAAGTTGCAGAATGGACCAATGATGACTTATTTTAGAGTCTGAGTGTATTTGGAGGATTATATGCCATAATTAGTCTTCTCATATCCAAAGTTACATGAGAGTCAATACTATTTTATTCAAGATACTTAGTACAATATCTTAAATAAACCCCATAACAAAAATATATGAAGCATGAGGATAATGGTTTGATATACATAAAATTTGATGTGCCTATTCACATTTGTAGTCTTGCTATGGCAAATCAAATGAGAAAAATTCAGAATTTTAAAATCCCAAATAAATTATAAAGTATAACTTAATAAACTAGTTTATTTAATTTTCCATCATATAAAAGTTCATCAAACATGGAAGTAAGGAAGTAATATATTATGTTACTTGCAACTTTCTAATTAATTTTTATCTGTATTACTACCAAACAATAAACAGAATCTCTTCATTTGATAATGTGAAAACTATACTTATATACTAATTTGTACCCATATGTCTGTCAAAATACTTTTGTTGAAAATTATTCTATGATAATTACATGGACATAGAAAAGGTGACCAAATTATTAACCATATTTCCAACTATACATGGAAAGTTCTTTACCAAAATACAAGTCATACATGCAAATTTCAGTTTTGTGCTTTGTAATTGTTTTGTTTCATGAAAAAGAAGGAAATTTGAATATGTATTCCATGTATAATGATAGTTCTCTTGATAAAGATAGATTAATATTATTCAAGAAAAGTGTTTATTTTTTCTGAAGTGATTGGCTAAAATTAATTTGATGATTTAATACCAAACATACTGTAATACTCAGTAAAATAACCTTAATATAATTGACCTATATCAGTTACATAATAATTATTAAAATGTGAGCTCTCAGCTTGCTGCTTAGCTTCCATACTTGCCTGCTGTGAGCTAGTCATTATTCTTATTTACATAGCCAATTTTCAAGATATTTATTGATAATTACCAATTATTTTACTATTGCACATGATTTTAAGATATATGCATGTATGTGTATATATGCATATAAATTCAGTTTTCGTAGCCCACAATTAAATCTTTCCTTAGTTTCATTAATAGATACCTGTTTTTAAGCTGTCTCAACTTCATTGTTAGGTTCATGTGTTTTGAATCATTCATATCCTTGAATATTAGCTTACTAGGATAAAAATTTCTAGACTATTCATTTGTTTCTTTCAATTTTCTCTTTTACTTCTAAATATTTTACCATGAGTACAAAACCAGAAGACCAATAAGTGAAAGTATACTTAAATAATTTTTGCCATAAATATAATCCACCATAAATAAAACTAAAGATAGCACTAGTTAAAAATTTACAGTCTTAGTATTACCCAGCAAGTTAACAGGACCTAAAATAAATAAAATGAAAATAAATGTCAGCAAAATATATAGTTTTACTATCTTATTAATATTTATAGTATGTATGTATCAATATTCATATTAACCTAATTTATGCCTTCCTGAGCACAATTATAATAAAAGCATGCATCAGCATACCAGTATTAAATACATTATATAAATGATAAAGAACATGGTTATGTCAAAGATACATTACTCATGAATAAATAACTTTCTCTTCTAGTATGATCCTGCCTTTAAATATTTCTAATACAGCTAGATATTACAATCAAAAATTCTTGATTACCTGTTATTATTTTGGTTTTAATTTCAAGAGATTGACTATGGACAGCTGGAAGTTCTGGAATCTGAGGGATGTAAATTTTCCTGGGTATGTTAAAATGTGCAGGAAGGCTCAGTGCTGAGGTATATAAAATGGATTTAGGCTTCTTCAAATTTGACATATGAAAGAGCAAAAGGCACTGTAAGTGAACATTGAAATTTTATTGTAATTTTTCATAACTTTTATCTCCAAAACACATTACATGTTCAGATAAAACATGTGAGGGAAAGCATAAACAAAATATTAAAAAACATAAACAATTCTAAAGAGAATTGTTATCATACAACTGAATGAAAAGAATCACTAACCCATACAAGTTACCAATGATGTCATCTTTAACAATGGCTCACACACCCCTCTTTTAGTGATTACAGTGACTGATAACTTTTCTTGCAAGGAAAATATTCCATTAAAGGACAATGTTGAAATCCTGCTTTATTTCTTCTGTAGAAGCCTACATGCCTTCATATCTATACACCAAACACTAACATAATTTGCAGGATTTACCAAGCTACTATCTTCACAAATGACATTTTTGACTATATATATCCAATATATATAAAGAACTAAACAAGCTGAAAAGCAACAAACCAAGTAATCCACTTAAAAAATGGGGAACAGAGCTAAAGAGAGAATTCTCTGCAGAGGAATATCGAATGGCAGAGAAGCACTTAAAGAAATGCTCAACCTCATTAGCCATTAGGGAAATGCAAATCAAAACAACCCTGAGATTTCACCTTACACCCATCAGAATGGCCAAGATGAAAATCTCAAGGGACAACACATGCTGGAGAGGTTGTGGAGAAAGGGGAACCCTTCTCCACTGCTGGTGGGAATGTAAACTGGTACAACCACTCTGGAAATCAATCTGGCGCTTTCTCAGACAACTAGGAATAGCGCTTCCTCAAGATCCAGCCATACCACTCCTAGGCATATACCCAAAAGAGGCGCAAGTACACAACAAGGACATTTGTTCAACCATGTTTGTAGCAGCTTTATTTGTAATAGCCAGAAGCTGGAAACAACCCAGATGCCCCTCAACTGAAGAATGGATGCAGAAACTGTGGTACATCTATACAATGGAGAATTACTCAGCAATGAAAAATAAGGAAATCATGAAAATTGCAGGTAAATGGTGGGACTTGGAAAGGATCATCCTGAGTGAGTTGACCCAGAAGCAAAAAGACACTCACGGTATATACTCACTCATATAAACATACAATATAGAATAAACCCACTAAAAGCTGTACATCTAAACAAACTAAGCAAAAGAGAGGACCCTAACTAAAATGTTCAATCCCCATCCTGAAAGGCAAAGAGGATGGACATCAGAAGAAAACGAAAATAGGAAACAACCTCGGAACCCGCTACAGAGGGCCTCTGAAAGCCAGAAGAAAACAGGAAACAACCTTGAAACCTGCCACAGAGGGCCTCTGAAAGCTTCTGCAGTATAGACTGTCAAAGCAGATGCTGAGCCTGATGGCCAACTGATGGGCAGAGTGAATGGAATTTTATGTAAGAAGTGGGAAATAGTAAGAGCTGGAGGGAACGGGAACTCCACAAGCAGAGCAACAGAACAAGATAATTTGAACACAGGGAACTTCCCAGAGACTCATACTCCAACCAAGGACTATTTGTGGAGATGACCTGGAACCCCTGCACAGGTGTAGCCCATGGCAGTTCAGTTTCCAAGTGGGTTACATAGTAATGGGAAGAGGGACTGCCTCTGACATAATCTGATTGGCCTGCTCGTTGATCACTTCCCCCTGAGGGGGGAGCAGCCTTACCAGGCCACAGTAGAGGACAATGCAGCCACTTTTGATGAGAACTGATAGACTAAGATCAGAAAGAAGGAGAGGAGGACCTCCCCTATCAGTGGACTTGGGGAGTGGCATGCATGCAGAAAGGGGAGGGAGGGTGGGATCGGCAGGGGAGGAGGGAGGGGCTTATGGGGGGGATACAAAATGAATAAAGTGTAATTAATAAAAAATAAATAAAAGATTTAAAAAAAAACAAGTAGGTTTAAGGCCTTTTTGGGTGTCCAGATCAAATTGAAAAGCAGATCCACTCAGCATTTAACCTAGAAATAATTCCTGAACTAATGCAGGGATGAGTTTTATGCCACCATGAAAAAGTCAGCTGTGGAAATTTAAAGGCCAGAGGGACCTACATATGTCTAGCATACTAGGAGAAAGAAAGAAAGAAAGAAAGAAAGAAAGAAAGAAAGAAAGAAAGA